GGTTACGAGAAATCGGCAGAAGAACTAACCTGAAAGTGAAGATATGTACAGCGTTCTGGCTATTGCAACCGCTTGTTGAATTCTGTGCACGTTTTCGACAGGGATTAAAAACCAGTTGTAAGCAGATATTTTCATATGGAGACTGCTTTTCTGAGGTTGTTCAAGATATCACGTAAAACTGGTAATTCTAGTTTTATGTATTGAGAAAATGAGCAAATACATTTCTAGTTTTCGCTTATTGTCATTTATTTGATGGTAAATTTTGCTCAGCAAAAAATTAATTATTCATAGCGCTTTTAAATTACTAATTACATCGTGCTAGTCAAATCATTATGGATAAGTGAGTATAGAGGGCGCTATTTGGTAGAAGTGTGTATTTGCTGCTGATCTGCACTGGCTCGGAAGATGAATTCTGATTGGCTAAAAAAACAAAAAACTTGTGGCGTTGAATGCACGTTCGTTCTCAGTAATGTTATGCAAATTAGAAATTCAAACTAGCTAATCATTTACAACCTTCCGAGCCAGTGCAGATTAGCCCTGTATTTGTAATTGTAAAACCTTCATTTATATTCGTCAAACTCCATTTGTGTTCGTAGAATCATCTGCATATGCGACAATGGAACGCAGATGGCGCTTTTCGTTTTTTACTCGAAGTAACACACGCGTGGACTCAACATGGCGGCAAGGAAGTAACCCTGTAATCTTTGTGCGACGATTCATCCTGGTTTTCCAATTTCCGGGTGCAACAGGTTTTAGACTTTTTGGATTCGAATAGGGAGTGGGTTCTTGGGTAAGATGTTTAAGTAATCAAAGACGATAATGTCAAATAAACACAAATATTTATTGACTTCTTATGCCAATAAGATAAACAGGTTGTAACAGTAAGATTCGCTGTGTTGAGTACAGAACGTTGGGAGCAGATTAACTGTTTGCAATTGGAATATCACGTGACTACGCGAATAGAATATGGTAATGATTTGAATATAGAAGTCAGGAGTATAACACGATGTTGATAAAGAATAACGAATAATATAAATATTTGTGACAATAAAGCCTAATTTATAGCATTTACACACACATTTCCCAACAAGGTGTGCCGGGAGTTTGTTCGAAACTTTGAACGTTTCGAAGTCAATCGTCGATTGGCATGTATTTTAGGGACAACATCAAAAGTTTATTATATGATAAAAAAAAATCCTTACTTCTCCCGCCCCACTTAATTGAAACTTAATTGATAAATATTGATCATGGCGTCAGCCTTCATTCAGTAGTATGGCATAGCAGTTGGTTGTCGGGTGGATGTAAAAAGACGTTACAAATGCATCAACAACAAGGAAAAACAAGCTTTACTTGTTCCTTTCTTTTAGGAAATACATTTAATTTACTAAGATAGGTAGTAAAATGAAATTGTCATTAGACGTTGTATACATGTTCTCATGTAGTAAACGTCACCTTTACCTTTCTTATTTTAAATACAAATCCAAATTGCATTTACATAACATGTTTAAATTTAACACAACATTAGTGGTTGAATAGCACCAAACAATTTTGGACATAGGATTCATTTTCTGCTCATTTTCAAACCCTCAGCCGTTCAATAGGAAATAATGAAGGGGAATATACTCACGCGCAATCTACTTTTCTTGGTTCTGCACAGTCATTGTCTAGGTCCATGCCCTGAAATTGACCTCATTTGACGCACATATTTACACTCAAACCATTTTCTCGTCTTGGATGTTTTTTTTTTTTTTGTTTTTTTTTTCATTTTCTGTTATTTTTGTCCATGATTGGATAGAAGAGAAACGAACTACAAATTCTCCAAGATTTGTTGACTTCATTAAAAAATAAAATCGTTTTTGTACGATGGAAACTGTTTGCGGTCACCCCCACCCCAAACTAAACGTCGTACCTTACTGATATATTAAATCGTTTCTGGGACCTGTTTCCTAAATAACGATAAATGAATCTGGCCCCAAAATTGCGCAAATTTGCAATAAGTTTACACTGCTAATGTCTGGTTCGGAAGGCGTTCTACGCGTGATTTTATTGCGCTCAAGGAAGTTCTATTTTTGAACTAGTTGAAACCGGAAAATACGCTTTCGAACTTCAAACACAAATTTGATTATCGTTATTATGTGTTAGTTCCTGTTGTTTCAAAGATTGAATTATGTATGACATTAATATTTCACTCACTAAACAATATTTCACTAAAATACGTGATTAAAAGGCAACTTGAATTGTAAAAAGCAATATCAAGTTTCGTGTATAAACACTGGTGTAAAGAGGCGGCGGAGCGCTTTTTTAGGCAAAATCGGCTAGTAAGACGTCATATGTCACAGGTTTATGCTCATTCTCTTTCCCAGAGTTCCTTGCGGTTAGATCACCGAAAGTATCTCTGCCACCACACACCGCCATTTTATGGTGAAACACCACAAGACTTTTACTACGCCTATCATTAGCGTATTTTTTATTATTAGAGGGCTCTCGTGGTGATTTATTCCTACTGGAAATCAAGTTTTAAAATATTTTATCGATAGCTGATAACGATTTTTCCGTGAATGCACTGTCATGGGAGAAATATTTATAATTTACAAAAGAAAATAATTTCATCGCGGAATAACGGTTACTAAGGTGTTACTCTGTTTATCAAACTGACCGTCCTGTCGTTTGCAAGACAAAGAAATATAAAGAAACGATTGCACTTAGGGGTTATTGACGGCTAAATCGTCCTACTGTCACACTGTTTGTGCTACAGAAAGAACCAGTATATGCAAACAACGCGTACACATTGCATGGCAATGTTTTGGTGCGCGTCTTTGAAAGTAGTACCACTGTGACACATCGACCAATCAATGACGAGCATAAGAGATATATTCGTGGAATAGAACTCTGCCTGAAAGATTGGTTTATTCTAAGACAGCGCTTCCTGTGACGACACAACGCTGTCAGCGTGCACTGCGGCGTCGGAGTATAGACCGGACCCTGACGCCGCGGTGCAACCCTATAATTTAATCATTTCTCTTGACGAAGGCAGCCATGCGCCAGCGTGATCCAGATGTTGTTGTGAACTCATGTTAAAAAAATGATCAAGAAATACTGGATGTACGAACATATTGATGTGTATGATTTCGTGCTATCAAGTTAGAAGACAACTCATGCAAATACTCATAATGTATTTATTTTGCAATAAATTTTACTTCCGGGCAATATTAGGATATTGACTTAAAAGTTAGGGGGCACCAGCCTAATTTTTGAGCAAAATTTAGTGGATAGTTGTCATTTGTCAGTATTATAAGGCGTCTAGGCTGGTAACATAGGCTGAACAAAAGGTGTACATAATGAATTATGGGGTACTTTTTTTATCTCAATTATTTCAAAAATCTGGGTTTAAAAATGTGTCAAAAATGTAATTTCTCCTATGCTCTATAGCGATTTATGAAAACTATTAGTTCCTCAAAATACGTCACGGTCGTCAATAACACACAAAATAATGCTATTTTATAATGCCATGACAGCTTTATGATTTTAATAATAAACCATTAAAAATTGTCATTATGAATAGGCTTCTCCAGCCAGAGGCAGGGGTATGAAATTGTGCATGGGTTAGCGAGATCTACTGAAAATCCCCGCGCTGAAAGCTGGGGGCAGATGGCATGCTCCCCCTAAAAATGTTGTAATCTAGATTCTCTGAAAGGCAATTTCCTGCATTATGGAGGGCAACGTCCCAACTTTTTTTGACGGGGCGACCCCCCCCCCCCGGTGCCGCCGCCACTGCCTCAGCTATCATTTTTGCTAGGTACCTGTGGATTCTATCGGCAGGGGCGGAGAGACAAAATTTTGCATTGGGGGGTCTGCTCACTAGGTCGCGACCTTACTAGGGGATACGGCGCATACTCCCCTTATGCATTTTGAAATCTAGACCATCTGAAACGCTATTTCCTGCATTTTAGGGGGCACATTTTTCTGACAAAGGATTACAGCTCGATTTTGGAGGGGCAACGCCCCCCCCCCCAACATTTTTTCGAGAGGGCGACCCCCGTCTCTATCGTCTTGTACGGTATCCTATGGCGCGTTTATGATATCATAACTCCCTATAATGTGATATCGTGACTATCGCTTCATATACATTCATATTACAATACTATCTTGCAAGGCTTTTCTACCAATTCCCTATAATATTACTACACGATATCCTATAATGCAATATTGTACACAGAATTTTAACATGGATTCCTATACTATAATGCATGCAATGATTCCATCCCCTACATTATGCTATCGTATTTCAGTTTTATTTCTTATAATGCCCATCAATACTCACACTCATGTTTAATACTCGGTACATGATACTGTTGCGAAACTGAACTGGATCACAGAATGCACTAACATGATACGTCGGCAGGTGTCATCCGTTGACACCTTAGTGATCTGAGCTGACACTGCACCGTATCGCTTTTGACCTGGCCGTTCGAGACTGATGAAGATGTTAATTTCAACTTTTATTTAATTTATTGTCCACGATCCACGAGGTGTCTAAATAATGTCAAATCAGGTTTTGTGTCACGTCATTAATTCCGGAATAATTGAATATCAGACTTTTTTATAATTTATTTCAATAGTTAAAAAACATCGATTGGCCGTCAGTTACCACGGATTCAATACGAATTTAAAATGCATTTTCTGGCTATGAATTATACAGAGTCATTATGATACTTCATTATTATCAGCATATCATGATTTTAATTGACCAATGAATATACATTACATTTGAATAAATTTGCATTGTTAATCAGCCAAACATAAGCAAGCATTATATTTCTCTTGGTTCCAGTGAAGTTGATCCACGCTACCTGACATTTGCATAATAAGATATTCAACCATCGTTTTTATGCATCATTGCAAAAATATCGAGAATTTTTGGAGAGTGCAGATATTCTAAAAGTAAATGTGACCTTGCCCTAGACAGAGGCAAATCACGGTAAGGTCCAGACTGTGAGAATTTATGCAGTTTTCGTTTTTTGTTTCTTAGACTTCTCGTAACACCATCCGAATAGAAATAACCCCATCTTTTTAATGACGTAAAACATTACCAAGGCAACAACTACCACGAACGCGGCTACGTCCAGTAAAAAATATTGATACCACGAGAGGTTGGGTACTTGGGATATCAGATGATCTGTGCCGTGTTTCAATACGTAGTTTACCCAGTATACAATGGATTCTTCGGCAGTCATCGGCTTATCTCGGGTAATATCGGATAACTTCTGAGCTTTCGTCTTGTATCTGTAAGTGTCCAAAGGTTTTATGATTGGTCTATGAATGTTACAAAATTGCTCGTTTGGGAGAAAAAGATGACAAATTAATTCTTACCTAATATCTGTGATTATATCGGTCATCATTTGATGCAGGATTTCTGGGGTGATTATCTTGTAATCTATGTAATTTCCAATACCTTTGGATTTTATTTTTGCAGCATTATCATGTTGATCCGAACATATGGGTATACATAGCATGGGCACACCATGATATAAGCCTTCATGCACACCACTGGTGCCACCATGGGTGACGAAGAGACGGGTATTGGGATTGGCTGTAAACAACAAACATTAGTCAAACCTCGTGGATCTCAAAGCAACGAGTATAAGGATTGGCTATGAACAACACAGATTAGTAAAACATCACGGGTAACTAAGAAGCGATCATTCTGATTATTTGTGAACAACACACAGTAGTGAAAACACAAAGAGACAAGTGTTGTGATTTGCTGCAAACAGCATACATTATTGAAAATATATTATTAAATATCATGGACCACATAAATACGTGATTGTTTGTGAACACTATCGACACAGGTTATTTTATATTTCTTTTCAGTGACAAATAAGTTTGGTTTGATGTTATAATGTATCAAAATGTGTCCATGAAAACTCATGGCGCCGCAGTGGCATCTCAAAACATTGCGTGGAATTCGTCAAACTCGGATATGCTATACCAATTTATGATGGTCAATTTTGGTGAAATAATTGTATTAGATTGCCGCAATCCACTCTGAAAAGTCAACGTTTCAACACAGAGCTATAAAAAAATTAAAATCAAAATTTGATTTTTGCGAAAGACGTTCG